TACTACTAGCGATGCACTTGTTCCTAGTAGCTTCTTGTTACTACTAGATGGAGGCCATTACTAATAGTAAACGCCGTACAAGAAACACCGTCTTTCCCTCAAGACGCCGACGCTGCGGTAGCCCACATGCTCATCGGATGTCTCTTTGGACCTGAGATTGCAAAAAGTGTGTAATAGTTGGATCTTGATACCATGATGTATGAGCTGCAAAATTGTATGCCCAAGCCAAGGCTAAGGTGGCCAATACCAGGTTACAAGTGTCTCTGTGCGAAAGCGAAATGCACCGGATTGTGATATTATGGCGCTCTAGTCTATGATGCTCTACGAATCATATCAAGGCCGGACCACTTTTCGGCTGTCATGTCTTTTGTGGGTCAGAACCCAAGTTCAAGCATTTCAGCAGCGGCCCGAGCTTGGAAGAATCTGTGAATCTGCCAGGTTTCAAGTCTTTCCCGCACAAACAGCAATTTCACCGAAATGTTCACCAGTTGTTCCTGTACATGCAGAATAAAATGATTGTGGATTCATAGTGTGAAATTGTTTCAGCCAAAAGCTGACATGTGTCGACATGTGTGGCAGCTGTGAAGCGAACTTGCTCTGGCTTTTCTTCGGTTGCTGCCGCACTTGTTCGATGTCCGCCTCAGGGAAAATCGACCCCAATCTTTGGAGGCGATAGTCCGCTTTACTAGCAAGTGCATCGCTAGTAGTAACAGGTGCCTTACTAGTAGTAACAAGAAGCTATTAGAAACAAGTGCATCGCTAGTAGCAAGTTGTCAGGAAGTTCTTGCCTCCCGCAACCAGGCCGCCTCCAATTCTGGAGTGTCTGCCTGTCAGTTTCCAAGCTGAGCATATGCATAAGTTGCCCTGCCACACTACACCTGCCTGCCGCACGGCATCTTGCAGGCTACGCTGAGCACTCCAGACTTTCTCACCATGCCTGACTTTGCCAAAGCAAATCTATTATGCATGAAAACGAGCTGAAGATCGCTTTCAAATGCTTCTAATCTGTTCTGTCAGGTGCCTCTTAAGCACTCAGCTGTCAACAAATCATCCATCAACTCTGACCCTAAACGAAACGACGACTTCGATCGCCTTGGGGAGCTCGAAGCAAAACGCTCTCGCTCTGCAGCCCTCCGAGCAGTCTGTCGAGGCCTTGGAGAAAAGCGCACAGGGCTTTGCAAGAAAACGCTTTTCACATAAAGTCATAAAGTCATGTTTTCTTTTTTCCATGTTCCGAACATGTCCGGTAGTAAAATACGATAGTACAATTCAAGACAAGGATTCCCAAGGCAAGCATAGTTCGGGGGTTTGTATATAACATGTACACAACTTCTGTTTATGCAAACAGTCGCGAGCTGTATTGTTTCGCTTGACAATACCATCTCAACATGTTTCTGGCCATCCCGAACTGAAAATCACAAGCAAATGAATTTCAAGTGCGATTGCCAGGAGTTACAAACTACTGCTAATAACCTTTGGTGATGCTGCTGAGATGCAACGTGATGCAGCATGATGCAGCTGTGAGCAAAGCTGACCAATACCCTTCAACTCTTGGCACACACCTGCTTGCAACCTTTTTGGTAGCTCGCCAAAAGTCTCCAATAGTATAACTAGGTTGAGCCATGCAGCCTGACGAAAAAAACAAAGCACTGCGTTCCTCTGTTTTCTTGAGTGAACAGCTGCTTTCACGCAAACCAGTGGTTGATCCCTAAGTAAGCATCAAATAGGTTACCTCTAAACTAACCTGTGAGAATAGATTTCTAACGGTGGTGGTTGTGCTGTCCTTACACCACCACAGGGTTTGCTTACACGCCAGGGGTTGCTTTAGGAGCTTACGCTGTACTGCTAACTGGTGTTTTTGATTACAGCCACGGCTTACTCGCCAACTTTTGCAATCTGAAGGAGACGTTTTAAAAGGAAAGAGTGCTGCTGCACTGGCTGCTGCGTATGCCCTGAGTTGAATAGCTTGTCATATCACCAAATCGCTTCTCTTTGGGCGGCATCGTGGACTAGGATGCATGAGCGGAAACTTAAGCTTCCACACGGCTTCTACACTCGTGTTTGCCTAATTTTTGCACCAAAAAGGCGTCACACTAGGGAACATCAATGAGAACACAAAGTTGCACATTGCTGCAAAGCCTCTTGGCCACGAACAAGCGATAAAGAAAACACTAGGAATGACATGGATTGACCATGGGCCACTGCTTTTCGAACAGCAGGTATTTTCAGCAAGTGTCAAAACAGTTACTAAAGAACACAGCAGCGACAACCATTTAATGGACCATGGAGGTTGATCTTGTTTCAGCCGCTTGTATACCTAGATTGACTGCACCATTCCATTTGAGTGTGATGGCCGTTGTTTGCGTCGCCACTGGAGAAAATCCTGCCGACTTTCACCAGGAAAAAGCTCAGAAAAAAATAGAGGCTGCAGGCCTCCAAGGTCGGCTCACGTCTCTCTGCCTCCAAAAGTTGTTCACGAACAGGAAATAACAAAAATCTGGAAAATGGGATCACGTCTCTCAATTAAATCGAAAAAAGCTCTAGATCAGCCTCGTCTTCGACAGCTCTTCTCCGCACAGAAGAGGTGGCCTGCTCCCCAAGGCTCTGTAGCACTCTGCCGTCAAAAGAAATGTCAACAAGCAGAAGCCAAGCGAGCCTTTTCAGCGGATTCGGTGGATGCCTGCTAGGCACTTAGAAACTTGCCATGATCCTACTCCTCTGTCAACAGCCAAATCCTTCAACAAACAACTGGGCAACAAAGAGCATAACCGTTTCGCTGTTGGGCAAAGAATTCCTTGAGAGGCTCTAGCATGGCACAACGTCCTCTAATTCCACACACACACACATTTGCATAAGCCCAAAATCTGGCACCTCAAAGTTCATTGCATGCGCATACGCCTGACTCAAAGCCTGAAACCTGGTCACTTCGCAGAATTGTGAGGCTTTGCTCATTTTGATCTTGAACTTATTGACACTTGCCTGGTTGATTTGTTGGACAGCACTGTCTCAAGCCAACGCCTCTCTGGATCACCGCCACGATCAGGGTGCCACAAGCGTGCTCTCGCACGGAAGGCACGACGCACCTCTCCAGCAAAGTCAACTTCAATCCTAAGAAGTAACGCGCAAAAGCTGTTCAAGTTAGCCCAAAGCTGTCGACATTTTAGGACAAATCTTCGCGTATCTGCGGGACATCTGAAGATATGACAGCCTGGCCTCGCTGCTGCTGGCACCGGGCGAAAGTCCCAAAACCTTGAGATCGGATACAATGTCCGAATGTAGACAAGTCCATTCGCAACTTGACAGTTGCTCTGTTGACACGAGAGGCTAGACAGCATATGAGATCACTCGGGTTGCTGCTGACCATGGATCTGTAGCTTCCTCTGTGACAAGGCATGATGTATATCGATGCGATAAGCGCACGGGCAAGCGCATCCAGTCAGGCTCCCATATTTGATCGTGTGTGCCGCGTGCAAATTTTTGGTGCGGAGACTTCGCATATCTCACTTGAGCAAGTCCTCTTCCCCTCAAGCTACAGCTACAATTGTAGCTTGCCCGTCCGAAGCTACGCAAGTTGCAGGACCAGAGTTCCGCCAAGAGAAAGATGGTACTGCACTACTGCACAAGTGTAGCATTGTAGCTTTGTTTTGCCTCGACTCTGGTTCTGAATATGGAAGTGTTGTGGCTAAGTTTTCTTGACCCCGACAAACCCGACCTCTACCGAATGTTCTCAAATTAGGTTGGAGGCCAAAGCTACTGGGTTGGAGGCCATCGCTAGTGTTCTCCTCAAATAATATATCCTCAAGAGTATTCTATGCGCAGCTCATCCATCACGGCGACAAGATCTGGATCGTCCTTGCCTTCAGTGGTCCGGCCAACAAAGACCAAGCACATGAATCATGCTCCGATTCTACTTGGCGGATGTCTCTGCTGTTCCCAATCCCTGGTCTTTAAAGAGTTATATAGATATGACTGCCATACAGGATAGGCATTCGATGTTGTTAAAAAAAAAAAAAAAAAACTTTTCAGGCTATATAAAGCTACTAGTAGCTCCTAGCCTTACTACTAGGAGCAAGAAGCTATTAGGAGCAAAGGGCATCGCTACTAGGAGCAAAGACGCTACTAGTAGCTCCTAATTCACTCAGTGAACACCATGCAGTTCCAACCAAGTCCAGAGGCGTGCACTCGGTGGCTTCACTAAACGCCAAGAAACATGGAGCCAATGTCACCAGCCATGAGAAGTTCATGTGTTCCTGAGAGAGTTCATGGCCAATATGGCCACTTGCACACACTCTCCGGGGCGCGCGCGATCTCTCCCTCTCTCTCTCTCTCCCTTCCCTTCTCCAGGAAAAAAACAAACAACATATATATATATATATCCAGTTCTACGCAATTCATTCAAAACTAAGTCTACTCTTGGACATGACCTGGCCCTTCAAGCAAATGGCTTTTCGTTCTGCGACTTGCCTAGTAGAAATCCGTCCAAGAGTCCAGGACTGAAATCAGTGAAGCCATGGGGATGGTCTCCAAATCCTGAAAATTGTCAAACCAAAACAACCGGGCAATGCCGCTGCCTGGAACAAAACACATTCATGGCATAAATCAGCCTACCTGCTGCCCACCGGCAAGCGCCAATTTCTCCTCGAGAATGCGGATGACCTCTCGCTCGGCCGGTTCGCCACTCTTGAACACACCCAAACAATCATAATACCCAAATGTGGGAGCTAAAAAACCTAACAAGTTGAAAATCACACAGTGCAAATGCGCACACAATGTGGCACCTTCCATGCTGTCGGGCGCATCTTCAAGGCTTTGGACTTTAGCTGAGGCAAGAGAACCTACACCGATCATGTCTGGGCGGCCTTTTCTTGCAAAAAGCCTTGCAGCCTTCGAAGACCAAGGAGCTGTTAGCATCTCTGCTTCGGTGAGGTTTCGAAGATATTCTCTTTGCCTCAAGAGGTGTTTGTTTGTTGGTTCGAGAGATCACTATCAGTCTGTACCATGCACATCTGGCAGTACTGTTTCTTTTTTTTTGCAATCTCACTCTGTTTTACTTGCTTGATGCTTTGCTGCCTTGTTTTCTACAAACAAAGTGCACAAAACACATGTAATCACGGGAAGCATTTGAGACAGCAAGGCCCACGAACCCAAATGCACACACGCACCCAAACACAAACAGCCACGCCCTTAAGACATCTTAAGACACAGTAGTAACAGGTGCCTTACTAGTAGTAACAAGAAGCTACTAGGAAC